TCTCACAGAGCAGCTGGTGGTTTCAAATCGCTGACCTGGAGGTTAGCACCCTAAAGCATAACCGAATGCCACTGGGGTGCCTCGAAATACAGGATAGGCATTAAAATTCAAGTGCATTTCTATGTACCCGTATATTCTTGAGTATAAGCCGACCCAAATATCAGCCCAGGCACCTATTTTTACCACAAAAACGGCTGAAAAACTCGGCTTATACTCAGAGTATATATGGTACTTGTAATGAACACAAAGAGATAAAAAATGTAGCGCCCTTTATAATCATACAAAAATCAAACAAATATGACCAATTATTATTCAGACTTTGGTAAAAGCTATAAAATACTGATTAAAGTGTTTTGGAATTAGTCAATATTTGTTTGTAAGACATAATATATAGCTACAGTAATCAAGACTGTAGTGTTTATAGAGAGATAAAATCAGAGCATTGTAACAGAATAGAGAAACCATGATTAGACTTCCACAAATACATTCAACCAAAGGTGGCAAACTATACCAAAGTAATGCAGTAGAGGTAGGATAATTTTCACATATGCAAAAACTGAACCCTAGTCTAAACCCTTAGATCCTATACAGAAATTAACTCTAAGTAGGTCATAAAGCTATAAAACTGAACAGGGGTAAATTGTTGAGACATACAGCTATGTGAATGATTTGTATACTTGATACAAAAAGCATAATCCATGAAAGGGAAGATTGATAAGTTGATCCTCAAGGAAGCACAACGCTTGTTTGTCACAGAATCTAGTAATAGACTGAAAAGGAAAGTTATAGACTAGGAGAAAATATTTTCAAACCATATATCTGGCAAGAGATTTATATCTAGAATCTATGAAGAACTCTCAAAACTTAATAATAATTTTAAAATCCAGGCAGAAAACGTGAAGAGGCCCTTTCCTGAAAGAGATGCATAGTTGACAAATAGCACATGAAAAAATCAGCATTATTAGCTCCATCCAGCACTATAAGAGATGTCCTCTGACTATCCTGGACTGTATGCCCAGCCATCCAGAAAACTAATTCAATAAACTTTTTAATGAGAATTTTTTTAATAATGCTGAGCCCTTTGCGAAAAGTAAACCCACTTAGTTTTTTTACTGTAGTATATCTAACTTTCTGTACTTGGTCTAGTGGATTTCAGTATAGAGCAACCCGATATAGTGTCTCCGAGGCTGTAAATCTTCACAAGGACAGACAGACAGCCTCATCTTTTTCCTGTGAAGCTGGTGGGCTTGAACCACCAACCTTGTGTTAACAGCCCCACACTTACCCAGCAACGCCACCAATGATGCCTTTCAGTACTTGGTAAAACTGTACTATATGTGAAAATAAGCTACTGCTGAAATCACTGCCTAACTATATATATGTGAGGGATCAGTAGACAAACTGTATAAGGGAAATGACAAATGAAGATACGTGAGTTAGGGAAATATTTGGAGGTGAATTCTGCTTGCTGATTGCTAAATTTAAGATCATCTTTTTTTTTTTTTAAGATCACCTTCTTAAAAGAAAAAAGAAAAGATCACCTTCTTGTTTTATATAGTTTACCACCTAACCTTATTTCCTATAGATACAAAGAACTATGTGGAGTGAGATTCAGTTTGAAAAAAAAGTTGCTTAAATAGGAGAAATTATGTAGTGGATTTGGAAAGTAAACTGTATGATAACGTTATATGCTTCAGGCATTGCTTACTTGTAAATTTTATTTTGAAGGGCTTTGTTAGATTTTTTATTATTTGTACCTTGTGGGTCTCTTTCAAGTGCTTTCTTTACCTAGTTATTGCTGTTTCTGCAGATGTTCAGAAAATCCTTGGTAAAGATGTTTGAAGATAAAGGGTTGGACTGTGTGTTTTTAGAAACAAATATGAGCATGAAGAAACAGTATCACATGGTTTATGAGTGCATTCCTCTCCCAAAGGAAGTGGGTGATATGGCTCCCATCTATTTTAAGGTATTTAAATATGGACTTCATGTACATACTTACTTTTTACTGTAGTTCTGTTATATGAATAAAGTAGTCTTGAATCAAGCATCTTTTCTACCACATATTCGTATCAAATTTAATATTATATTAAGAAATGAAATAAAGCACACAATTTTTTTTGGTGTATAAATTTATATGGAAAGCAATCTCAGATTTTGACCTTCTAAGTATGAATATGCTATCAAATAGTAAATAATAATTTCTATTTTACATTCTCACAACAAATCAGGATATTACAGTTTGTTTGAATTTTACAAATAGTATCATGAGGTATTAAATACTAAAAATATGTAAAATTTGTTATCTCAGCAGTTGTAATTTGTACTATCTTTGGCTTCAGTGTATTTTAGTAATCAGTGCTCTGTGGTTATGACTGTAATTTTGACTTCAAATTGTGTAATATTTCTAGCCTTTCTAACTTGGCTTACATTTTTAGACATGTAATAAATGACTAGTGTCCTTACCCAATAAAGTATGATAATAATCTTTTAACAGTTTTTAAAAAATATGTGTTGCTGACCTAAATATACTCTAAGGGAATTTATAGACTAATAGGTATGCCTAAAATGGATTTCAGTAGACATTTAAGAATGCGTTCAAGCTCAGAAGCAACAAAGCCCACATGGAAGAAGCACACCAGCCTATGCAACCACGAGGTGTCGAAGGGATCAGGTGTTAAGGCATCATCAGAACAAAAAATCTTACCATAGTGAATGATGGGGGGAGTGCGGAGTGGAGATCCAAAGCCCATTAGTAGGCCACTGGAGATCCCCTTGCAGAGGGGTCTCGGGGAGGAGATGAGCCAGTCAGGGTGCGATGTAACAATGATGAGAAGTACAACCTTCCTCTAGTTCCTAAAGGTTTCCTCCCCGCTCCCACTACCATGACTCGAATTCTATCTTGCAAGACTGGCTAGACCAGAGGAGGTACACTGGTACAGATAGGAACTGAAAATACAGGGAATCCAGGACGGATGAGCCCTATAGGACCAGTGGTGTGAGTGGCAAAACAGGGAGGGTAAAGGGAGAATGGGTAGGAAAGAGGGAACCGATTGCATGGAGCTGTGTGTGGCCTCCTCCCTGGGGGACAGACAGCCGAGGGGTGGATGGAGGGAGGCGTAGGACGGGGCAAGATGTGACAAAATACCCATTTGTAAACTATCAAGGGTTCATGCGGGAGGGGGGAGTGGGGAGGGAGGGGAAAAATTAGGACCCAATGTCGGGGGTTTGGATGGAGAGAAAATGTTTTGAGAAACGATGTACAAATGCGCTTTGCACAATTGATGTGTGTATGGATTGGGATAACAGTTGTATGAGCCCCTAATAAAATGTTAAAAAAGAGGAAAAAAAAAGAATGCGTTCGTGAATTTTATGTTCGCAATTTATGTTCAGTATTCAACTGATAGGTCTCAGTAGCATTTTGTCATGTAATGCTGAACTGATGTTAGCACAAATTAAGAGTGAGTGAAATTATGTTGTTTTTACTAAAGTTAGGATTGTAAAAAATCAAGAAGTTCCAATTTCAAATAATGATATAACAAGTGTAATAAACTATTAGTTAATTGTGTGACTTTAAAAAAAAAATCTCTTTGTATTTGTTTACATGTTATATTTTCTTTTCCTTTTTTTTACATGTTATATTTTCATTGAACAAATGACTTTCTTAGAAAGCCATAATGGAATCTGATGAAGAGTGGTCCATGAACAAGAAGTTGATTGATCTCTCTTCAAAAGACATCAGAAAATCAGTAGGTATCATTTCCCTTCTAATATAAGAAAATATCCTAATATTCTCCATTAATTTTCACATCTTAGTTAAGAAAGAGATAATTTGAATGAATGACCAAAGGCAAAATAACTTTACACAAATAAATGACCTCATCCTTGTTGGTCTAGAAAATGCTTATTTGTTTGTAGAGGCTTTTTTTTTTACCCAAACGAATATTTACTCCTGACTTTTTGGCATTCTGCCATGTATGAGGGAGCTTCAAAAAGTTTGTGGAAAAATGGAATTAAAAAGAGGATTTTTCCATGAACTTTCTGACTTCTTCTCCTATTACTGACAGGATAACCCTTAGAATCTGCCATGAAAATTCCTCTCATGGCTTCTAGGGCTCTTTGGGACAAGGAGTGAGAGCTGCCTGCATTCATGTGACTGGGGTAATGATGAAAGGAAACTTCCCCTACAGGCTTTTGAATTTGAAAGTCATTTTCTTTTCCCTATACTAATTTTTCTGTCAGGTTCCAATAAAACAGTGGTTGAGTTAGATTTAGGATTCATTATTCTTCCGGAGACATGTAACCATGTTTTATAGCTTAATTTTAATTTACTATTCAGCTAACTTACTTAGTAAGTTAGACTCTTGTAATGACTCCTTCTTAGAGATTTGAATTAAATGGGATAGAGACTCACTAGATGTTTGAAATCTCATTTTTCCTATTCCATAATCAATTCTATAAATATACATTCAGAGTCTATTATATAGCAGGCACTGTCTTAGATGTTTTTTATACATAGTAAACAAAATAGAAGATCCCTGCCTTTATGGAGTTTGTATTCTGGGCCAGGGGTGGCAAGTCCAGCCTATAAGCCAAGTACATCTGCTGGCTGCTTGGGAAAACACAGTTCTATTGGAACACAGCCTTACCCACTTTTTCATATTTTGTATTGTCTATGGCTGCTCTCACGATTCCAGGGCAGAAATGAGTAGTTGTTACTGAGACGGTCTCAGTACTGAGATCAGCAAAGCTTAAGACAGTTTGCTTTTTGTTCCTCTCCTAAACGGTTTCCCTGTCCTGGTTCTAGCAGAGGAGTCCTGTGGTTCAGTGATTAGATGCTTCAACTGAAGTTCCGAAAGAAGTCAGCGGTTCAAACGCATCAGGCACTGAGGGAGAAAGATGTGGCAGTCTGCTTCCATAAAGATTACAGCCTTGAAATCCGCTAGAGGCACTTCTATCTGTCTAGAGCAGTCGTTCTCAACTCTA